GGAGGTTAAGTTTAACAACAACCATGCTGGGGGAAGCAGGAAGGTCCAAAAGTATTTACTTTTTCATTTGGTTTAGATTTTAAGATGATGTAAAACGTGAAAATAACTTGGAAGGCAGTAGCCCTGTTTTATTAATAGCAAGTATTTATTAGCCTCCGTGATTTACAGTATGTTTCTGAAAGTCATCAGTCCATCACATTCTTCAGCACAGGGGCTGACTTGTTTTTATCAGTCAACACAATATGGAATATAGATCCAAATATGAGAAGCCAAAGACAACCTTCATTTTGCATGCACATAGCCCGCTGACAGGAGGCCTGTAAAGGAATCCTGTATAGCCCTTAGACACATGCATTGGCAGACATTTGGGGAGAGGTGGGAGCTTCTATACATTGCTACTGGAAACCGGGAGTGTCACGGAAATCACCAGGGAAGAGCCATCGGGGCCAGAACAACCTCAGAAAGCGTCACACCACAGCCAGCAAAAAAGCTGGAAATCCACCTCACAATCTTGCTTCTGGGTTTTGACATGGAAAGCTATCTGTCCATCCACCCACCTCGCTGCCATATCTGATGCTCCCGCAGCACAGACACCTCCACCCAACCATTATAATCCCTATTTCCAGATTTGGGTTTTTTTTTCTCCCACCCTCGCCAGGAGGTTTTGCCCATCCAGCTGCCCATCTGTCCGCACCACCTCTGCCCATCGCCCGCTGGAGCTGAGGCTGAGCCAGTGCTTCCTGGGGATCACATCATACTCATTACAGGAGGCCAGACGAAATTAAATTGGGGCCCACTGGATTCTGCCATCTGAACTTCATCACCGCTAAAGACGCAATAAAAGTAATAGCAACAACAAACAAGGCTCTACCAGATGTGTAATTCAAGCCAGTGAGACTAAGGAATAAGGGCCGTATTTTGGGTTTCAGTTTTTTTGTTGTTGTGTGTTTTCCCCCCCACCTAACTCCATTTTTCCTTTGGAATAATTATTCAGACGCCTGAAGAAAATGAATGTTAAGAAGATCACTTCTGGGAGGAGAGGAGTTCCAGGGGGTGTTGGGATGGAGGGGTGGCAAGGTTTTATTGACTTGAAGCAGATATATCATACAACTGAAGACCATGCCTAATCACACCTGAAATGGGAAAACTTGTGGGGGGGAAGCAAAGAATAAAACAGAAATGAATGAGGCACCACTAGTATTTGGGGGGGGATTGGTTGGCTCACTCCTCAATAATTTATCATAGGATCACAGGAAACATCACAGCAGAGCAGGGAGCCCCAGAAAGGCAGCTCTGTTTAGCAGGTCCTCCACATCACCATCAAAAATCTGCAGGTAAAGGCTCAGCCCTGGGTTTCACCAGCATCCAGACAGCTCAAACACAGAGCAATAGAAGAAGCAAGATGCAAAACAAAAGTACCAGGTAAATGGCATAGGTGGTAAAATAACCCCCAGCAGCCCAAGAAGGACAGTGCTTCCCTCCACCTTCCCCCAGAGTTTGCAGCCTCCTTGCTGCTCAGCAACACCACAATGCTCCCTGGAGTCTGGGAATGCTGCTGGAAATCCCGTTCATGGGGTTTGAGGTCTGTTTTCAGATCTGTTCTAGAGAGACAGCACTCGATAAGCATCCTCCAACACATTTCACCTCTCTTCCTGCCTTGTAAAAGCCCACAGCCCAAATGCATCACAAATCCAAAATACGTATTATTTTCCAAGCAAAAGCTAAGTTAGACTTCACAAAAGATTTGACCTTTGCTGCATTTTAGTGTCGTGAAATTGTGCTTAGAAATAAAATGCAGCACAAATGGCCTTCAAGTTTGCAGGCAGCTTTTTAAACCCAAAACATCAAAGGTAAGTGAGCTAGTTCCCAGGTATCTTGTTCATCTCAGCCCCTTGGACTAAGAAAAAAAGAGCTTTGCTTATTAAAAACTCCATAACTTTAGGAGTTTTGGGGTTTTTCTATGACAAAACATACTTCATTTTTTTTTAAACTGTGACATGCAGACTGACACACTGGGAATGCGCTAAAATACAAAATCCCTAGGAACATTGCCCATCTCGCACCAAAACCACAGCAACCTCCAGCTTCGAGGCTAACAGTTTTCCAGCTCTCCCCTACAGGAAACCCTTGACTCCAGTTAATTGGCAGAAACTTGTTCAGCGGCTGTAACGCAATGGCTGGTGGTCCTCCACACACCCAGACACAGCAAAAGGCTTTGCACAAGCAGCCAAGTCCTGACCTGATGAAAAAGGATCCTAACGATACCCCTCATTAAATCATGCTGCAGCCCAGGTCCCACGGGGCAGTGCAAGCCCCTTGTAGCTCCGTCAAAAACTCAGACTGGTGCTGCCCTGTGGCTCTGCCAGAGCCACACACGGACCCTGGGAGTAAGATCAGGCCCCTCAGCAGGGGAGAGGAGCCCCCGGCACAGCCCCAACGTTTCTGAGAGGCTCTCGGCACAGTCATTACACATACCAGGGACTTTAAGGCAATACATAAATTCTGTAGTTGTTTTAAAGTCCAAAGAGTTGGGAGAGTTTAAGAGCTGTATTAAAAAATATCCATTTTAAGGACTATTTCACTTTACCTTCAACACAAAGGGACAAGGATAACTTTTCCCCTCCATGCTTGGCAGGGCACATCTAGCTGTCGCTGCTTTGTTATCTTCTGCTTTACATGGGAGAAATACCTGCCCTGTGCCAGCTGCTGGAGAAGAGATGGACTATAGCTGGAGAAAGCAGAGCACATTGACCTTGTTCCACCAGATAGAGCATCAAAAGTACAACCAGCTACCCCAGAAGCCATCTATTAACTGAGCTCTGCCTGCACTCAGACAAAGAAAGGGCAAAAACACCCCCGGAGCTGGCCAGGATCCTCCAAAACCCTTATAAAGCAGCTCCCCAGCTGCCCTTCATTACAAGCATGGCAGGCCTGCTGTAGACCAGGTGATCCCGCATTTGCAGTTTGGAGGAGAGAGCAGAGCAACCCCCTTTGCAATTAACAACTCCATCAGCCCTGATCTGATGCAGCTGCTTGGTCCAGAGATAGCCCAGGGCAGGAGCAAGGGTGCTGGCAGGTAATGGGAGATGCTAACTCCTTACCCACAGCGCGTTTGTGATCAATAGGATGCTTAATGCAACAGGATTCATGCTTCCAAGGGTCAAAAAACCCTTCTGAGCAGACACAGAGGTTGTAGCACAGGCTGGGATGGAAAGAACCTTTAAAAACATCTCCTAATGATTAAAAAAACCTCAGAGCATGTGCAGACTTTTGGGTAATTCAATCTCAAAAACCAACTCGCCTGAAAAGAAGCAGCAATACCTCCCGTTAGGTCAACCCATGCTGATGCACCAAGTCCCCCCGGGCTCCCAGCTTGCCCCTCCAGCTGTGTGCAGAGGTGCTTGTGCCGCTCGCCACAGTCCCTTGACGAGCTTTAAGGTACAAAAGTGTCTGTGCTTGTGCTATGCCCTGGCCCACATGAGAATGACAACCTGGGTTTTAAAAAAAAAAAAAAGACCAGCAACAAAACAAAAGAGCAACCACCACCCATCAAGAAGGCAACGGCATTTTCCCTATGGCCGTTGTGTTGGGAGATAGTCACCCCGGCTGGGTGTCTAGCTCAGATTTTAAGGAGATGAATACAACCAGAAGTGAGGTTGAAGCTAATACATTAATACATGAAGCTGGCCCCCCCCCTGCAGCTCAGCTCTGTCCCCCTGCCACTGGCAGCAGGTGTCCTGGCAGTCCGACACGGCCGGCCAGTGACTCCTCTTGCTACCCAGCTGGTTTCTTTCACCAAATAAGGTCCCTTCCTGCTCGCTGGCACAGGCGTAAGTAGCTACAGCCTATAAATCCCATCAGAGACAGCAGACAAGCATGCACTTAACCCATCTTCTGTTCAGCAAAGCACTCAGGCCCCGAATCAGCAAACCCCTTGGGCAGGTGCTTGGCTCCCAACAAGGGAGGAGCATCACTGGCGGGGGGAAACGCTGTGCAAGGGCTGGTGGGAGACACTGGGATGCCAACCTGATAGCAGCTCCCCCCGGTACCCTGGCTCAGGGCAGGGCTCTGCATCCCCTGGTGCTGATGGCATCTCCAAAGCAAGACTATCGCTCCTCCTGAAAAGCGAGGCTGGCCTCGCTTCTCCTTGGATGGATACTAAGGGACGTTACGGATCCTAACAGCCCCAAAAATACATCATTGAACAGCAGAAATGTCATACAACAGCTGACATTCATTAAGAGGAGGCGGGCGATGGAGGAGAGCTGGGAGACTCCCCCACTTCAGCATCACCCAACACCAGCAGAGCATTGTCAGAACTCGGGGTGCTGCAGCCGTAAGCCCAACGTCTGGTCTATCTCTGTGGGAACTGCCTGCCCGCCGGAGCTGCACAGCCCCTCATGCAAACACCAGCCCCAGCTTTCTCTTTGTAAACTAAGCGCTTGGTTTTATTCTGATATGTCAATACAAAGTCATACCAGCTGCCTGGCCCTTGTTAGCATTAAAAATTAAAGACAGAGCAAACAAAACCTAAAGCTCCAACATTTATTATGGCAATTTCTCACCCACTCACAAACCTACACTCTGTTTTGTTTTATTTTTAATTCGTCACATCAGATGCACCTTCCGAGAAACGGCACATCACGGAGATAACCAACAGGCCGGGCTGTCCACGAGAGCAACAGTCTTTTTCGCGGGGAAAGGAGCTGGATGAAGCCATCGATAAGCCCTTGACCTTGGTGGGTGGGTTTGCTTTTTTTGTTTTTAGAAAATAAAAAAAAAGAAGAAAAAAAAAAACAAAAAGAAACCAACCCCAAAGAAGTGTCGCACTCTATTACAAAATATAAATACGATAGTCTTGCAGGCAGGAGGAGCCCAGGGAGCGCTGCCTTCAGTGGGTGACTTCTCAGGCTCTCCTGGGGACATGGTGAGCCAGCAGGACAGAGGCCCCCTCCAGATGCCAAGACGCTGCGAGCCGCTCACCCCAGCTTCACCTCCTTTCAGAATTTAAGTGCTCTTGAACTTCCATCCGAAAACTGCCAGACATCCGGGGCTCCCTGGGTGCTGCGCCAGCTGGGGGGGTACGCCGAACCTACAGAGAGCATGGGGACAGAGGAGAGAACAGGTGTGACATGGACCACAGTGCGAGTTATTCTCTTATTTTACTTTTTTTTTTTTTTTTTTTTTAACAACTAGGACACCCAACTGCAAAGGGACACAGCAGGATGGAGCCCTTCCTCCTCTCAGGCCACACTCTTGCATCCAGCATCACTCAGCACCATGTAGGAATCACAGGGAACATTTAGGAGGAAAAAAACCCTGGTCTTTGCTGGGAAACCCATGCTGTGCCAGGAGCTCTGTTTGGGCAAGGATCGAGCCAACCTGTCTGAAAATTTCCTCCTATTCTTTCCCAAAACCTTGGGGCCTCCCCCAGCACCCACAGGGCATCCGGGTGCCAAAGACCCTCTTAAACCCATCGGTACTGTTAATATGCCACACAGTGGGTGGTTCATGGAGGACTTTCCCCAACTCACTCCACGTTCTATATTGCACAGCGTGCAAGCGCACGCTGCAAAAGCCAAGCTCCAGCTGCAAAGCCCCAGGCCATGCCCCGTGAAGAGTCTGGGCCACTCGCCATCAGCTCCAGCGGCACAGCACGGTGCTCCAGGACAGCAAACATCCTTGGCTCCACGCACACAGAGAAGGAGAGTGGGTCTGAGCCCCTGCTCGAGGCCAATCACCAAGCGTGGTGCTACCCTGAACAGCAGCCTAAGGGCTACGCCGCAGGCGGCGGCGGCAGTGAGACTGGCGCATTGTCAGCGCACCCCTCAAAATCCTCCTCCTCATCCCGATTGGGGAGCCAGTTTCTACAGAAATTGCTTCAATACCACATAAGAGCATGGTTGAAGGGCTACGATGTCAAGACTAAATAAGCAGCTCCGAGGCCAGATTTTCACCAGGTGTAAACAGGAGCGGCGCCTCCGAAGTCAAGACAACTTGCCTGGTTTCCCCACCAAGGAGGGCTCGTTGCAGCTGATGTCTGAGCCCCACATGTTTCAGGCTGACGTTAAAGCAGGCTGAGACTTTCAAGGGAGCCAAGAGCACTGCAGCCATCCCAGCCATGAGCGTACCAACACAACGCTGTTGTAAACTGTACCTCCCGCTGAGGGGCACAAAATCAGGGGGTTTCCCCTCGGCAGGGAGGGGACCCGACACTGGATGCTCGCGGCTCCTTTGAAACCATCAGCCAAACATCTGGGCTAAAGGGGCGGTGGCTCTCTGGCAACTCCGGCAAAGAGCCCACAACATTGCTCAAGAGTACCATTTGCCACATACCCAGTGAACATGGTTTTCAACCTTTATGGGATAAAAAAAAAAAAAGAGGGAAGGAGCTGGTATCTCCTTTCTGGTTTTGTACAAACTCTGCGCTTAGACAAACGGCAAAACTGCATCTCATCAGATACGCGAAGGCCTCCTGAATGTCAAACAAAGACATGGTATCACTTATTCCTGTATTTCTCAGCTCTTGGAAACATAATAAATACGAAACATCTGTAGCCTAAATTCTGGATACTGTTTCAGCACCTTCATTTCATTCATCATTCAATTTGGAAGAGATTAAATACTAACAGCAAAGGGGTCTGTGCCATAAAACTGCATTCCTCCTCCAAAGTTGATGGGTTTTAAGATTTTTAACAACGGAGACAGTTACCCAAGTATCGCTGTTATTTACAGACATCTTCATCTTGCACAGGAAATTTCTAGGGTGTGCGGAAGACACGTGCGCAGGATGCCAAAGCAGCTTGAGAGCACCCAATGGGGCCTTAGACACCCACTCCCCAACCCAACAAACTTGGCCTTGGTTTTATCACACCATTAACTCATTGCCTCCAGCAGAAAACCATCACGTTAGAGAATTCCACTTTGGTGTCAAGGTGACAACACGTTGCTGTTCACAAGCTATGCACTGGCTGGCCAGCCAGTGCTCAGACAACTTCTCCTACAGTGGGAGCTGCTTCTCCCGAGGCTCCTCCAAAGCACTGCCCCGGCCCCATGCGTACGGTTGCAGGGCGATGCAGCACCCGGGGGGGGGGTCATTTAGCTCTCTGAAACCTGCAAATCAAACACAGAGCTGCACAATTAAAAAAATAAATGATACATTGCTGTGTGTTTTCCACCTGTTAATCCTGTAGCGGTGCCTGGAGCCCAGATCTGCCTAGAGACGCCTGCATATAGATCTGTATACAGATGCCTGTATATATGGTTACTTCATATGTAAAACGTGGTATAGAGAAAGGTAGTGTAATGACGCCCACCGTAGGATAGACACAGGGTACAGCGCGCACTCTGAAACACGGCCAGGCTACACTTGACCCCAAGCAGACCAGCTAACGTGAATCCTCTCTCTAGACAACATCTTGACCGCGGTGCTACCAACCAGCAATAGAAATAGCCAGAGGGAGGAGGAGACTGCACTCTGCACGGACATTTTACGGCACAGGATCAAAAGTCGTGTCATCAAGGCAGCTGCAAGGCGCTCTGCGCATCCCCACGTACGCCGGCACTCCAGGGGACGGTCAGAGTGTCCATCCCCTTCACCCCAACCACACCATGTCAGGGCCAGACCCTGCCTCTCCTATGCTGTGCCAGAGGTCCCTCCGGCAGTGCCTGCATCCGCGTGGCTCCTGCTCCGGCATGGCATCCGCCGTGGAGACAGCCAGGGGGTACCGGCCCAGCAACAGGGAGCACAGTGCAGGGGCACTTTTCCAGCCCCCTGCACATTCATCCCAGACAACACGACCTTCAATCCTCCCATCCCAGGATTAAAACAGAGCTTTATTTTCTTTTCTGCCTCTCTCAGGAAAGGAATAATTTTTTTTCCTTTAGATAGGATATATTTCTGTATTTTTTTAAATCCCAAACTTCCCCTTCAGAAGGCGCTGGGCAAAATACAGGCAACAAATGATGCTATCACAAGAAGACGACAGAACAACCAGAAGGTTTTACAGAAACCAAAAAAAAAGGAAAAGAAAAAAAAAAAAAAGGTATTAAATCCATTACACTGGGAACAGCAAGAGACAGTATCACAGCAGTATGTGCTTTAATAAAGTAAAGAGATGCTGCAGCATGCAGTATTTGTCAAACTGACAACATATACAGACCCCTAAGGGGGGGCCAGGGGGTACCTGAACTGGAGTCCAGATTTTAAAGACAATGCGCATAAAAGGCTTCATAAACCTGCCATTCCCACCAGAAAAAAAAACCCCACAGGAGAAACGAGGGGAGCTCCCAGTTCCAGCCTCCAGCCAGCAGTGGTGCTGGGAGGTTTGGGGTGCAGTCAGTGCGTTCCCAGAGCCACGGTGCGTACCCCAACTCTGAGAGAAATCAGCTCCTGCCCACACGCCCACGTGCACCAGTGGCTGATTTCACCCCATGCTCTCCAAAACCACTGGGGATGGGGGAGTCTTGGGGTGAATGGGGGGTGCTGTAGAGCTTTTTTTTTTTTGTTCACCTCTTCTGCCCAAGCATTGCCAAACTGGGGGGGAAATCCCTCTCACAGACCGAGGCTGCTAAAAGCTGGAGATGCTGCCGGTTATCGGGGGAGAACGGGGGTCACATCTTAGTCCTCAACTAAAGGTATTCCTGGAGGAAAAAAATCCAAAAACCCCAAAAACTACAGGTCCAGACTGCGAATGCTTCCCACTGGTCGGAAAGCTAACTGGTTAGCCCAAAAATCCTCTTCCTCGGCAGAGGTGGCTTATTTAAGGACAAGCTGGGCAGCAGACACTCCTCGCGGTCAGGAGCACGTACCCCAAAACACCCCTGCGCGGGCCCTTCTCCTACAGCCTGCTGCTGGAAGCCATCTACAGCATGTGTCAAATGAGGACACGAGAAGCTGACACTGTGTACTTTAAGGTTTTTTTTTTATTTTTTCAATAAAGGGACAAAATGGGTGTATGAACAGGATAATGCAGACAACTGCCAAAAAAACACAGACAGTGGTTTTTCCAATAGAACTTAACAAAGACCAGAAACAAATACAATAAAAAGCCAGGTTGTAATGACCTTTGGTCATCCAAATAATAAAAAATTTAAAAAAAAAATCCCCCCCAAAAAAAACCCCAAAGAAAAATAAAAGATCAAATTCAGTGCTTCTGTTTTGAACAGAGCACATAAGCAATAATAAATAGTGACTCCCATAGTAAAAGATAAAATTTCAAGTTACGACAAACAGCTTTCATTACAGGAATAGAAAAGGCCAATAACAAAATATTCTGCATTGCCATTTACAAAAAAGTATTGACTCAAGCGGGCTTTCTCTTTAATATGCTTTGCATATGAAATTCTTTCCAATCTAAATATAAAGCACCATTTAGTTTTTGGCAATGAAAAAAACTGCAAAACGGTTTTTTCTCCTTTTTTTTTTTTTTTTTTTTAGTTTTTTTAGATTTTTTTCTTTCTTTCTTTCTTTCTTTTACTGCATATGAAGTTAAGATGCTGGAATGTCGGGTGATAGAAGGAAAGGGACATAAAGCACACTACATAACAAACCAACGTTATTAGCTTGCAGTACTGCATACAGTATGGCAGCAGGAAAAAAGAATGAAAAAAGATATGTACACCCCTCTGTGACGGCCAGCAGCATGACATCTTAACAGTTCCCCCAAAGAGCCATTATATGGCCTCAGATCTGTACAATGTCACACTTCGTCTTTTTGTCTTTTTTCTTTTTTTTTTTTGAAACATACAAATAATCTGCACTATATTATCCTGCCAAATTAAAAAAATATACTGTGGCAGCCTGTGTGTTTTTTTTTCCACTACCAAAAAAGGTACATCGATACCTTTTAAGAGAACAAGCAACAGTTAAAAATACAAGCTTCAATATAAATACTATAGTGCCTACACTAGATGAACATTTAATTCAAATACCATTCTAGAAATACAGAAAAAAGAGACCATAAATGTGTTTTAGCATAGGAATCAACATGAGTGTGCATTTTCCTATATTTAAGTACTATATAATCTTAAACCTTTCCCCAATGCATGTTTTTATACAACCTGAAGAGCTGTGTATATCCAAGGCATAGAATTTCCACTACCATTTTAAAATGAGTAACAAGTCTTGTACACCACCAAGACGATGAACCCTAAAATACAGTTTCCCCCTAACCATAATGAAGTGTCGTGGGTTTTCTTTTTTTTCCTTAAAAAAGTTTTCTTAACATTTATATTTAAAAAAGTTTTTTTTTTTTGTACAAAAAAATCCTTGCACTGTAGGAGCGAAAGCAATCATTCATTTTATGTGAGTGTAGAGTCTGTTTCCATTCACAGCGCTGTAATGTCGCATCCGAGAAGATAAGCTCATTAGTCAAGTAAATGGCTGGCAAAGTTTGGTTTTTTTGTGTTTTTTTTTTTTTTTAATGCTCATCAGTGAGATCATGTTCGATTTTTTTTTATTATTATTATTTTTTTCTCAGCATTCTTGCAACTTTTCCCTTAAAAGTATAGACCTGTAAACTGGGAAAATTGTACAGTGCACTTAATTGTCCTATCCAAGCAGTCTTATTTTATACTCAACCTCTGTACCTTTGATTAAAGAAAAGATACAGACATCACAGGCAGAGTCAAGTGCTATTTGAACACCAACCGGGGTGGGCACCTAACTTAAGAATAAAACAAGGAATCCTCTTCCACATCAACACAAATAGCACACAGAGTATGGGGGGAAAAAAAATGAAGGACAACTTTTAGGGAGCACAGACAGATACTGCTACTCTTTTGTTTTTTTTCCTCTTTTTAAAATTCTCGGTTACTCTTCCGAGTGTCACATTAAAGGCAAGTCTTAAGAGTTTGTAGTTAATCATCACTGTGTCGATACTAGCTTATACACCTGTTCTAGTTTTAAATGGCAAACAGTACCACATTGTGCTAATAAATCACGATTACTTTTTTTTTCTCCTCTATCCGTTACACTCAGTAAAATATTATTGCCAGTCTTTTATTTTATTTTTTATATGGTATACACAAGGTCTTAAAGTTTATAATTTGATTGTCAGCTTGACAACCAAGTGGCTCCGGATTTATTTGTTTTGGTGCCAGAATCAATAAAAGATATTATTAAAAGTAAATATCTTCATAAAACGGATTTCTCTACTTGTGTATTTAATGGTGTTGAAGGGCCTCTGTGCATTTCACATTCTATTTAATCATCGATGGGGGCGGGAGAATAAAAGTTTGTGAGGGGGAAAAGGTCCTACATCTCGTTTTAAGCTCACTCCAGAAGCGAAGCGGGTTTTAGACTGGTATGATCAATTCAGTTTAAAAGAAAAATAATAAAAGGCAGGGGAGAATGATGATTAACTAGGACTGAGTGGGTCATTTCTTTTCCTTAGTTTTCTCTTTCCTCTTCGTTCTTAGGTAGCTGGCGTTGTAAGAGACACGAGATGGACTCGCATGCTCAGCAGGAGAGGCTCCCCCCCCCGGCCGACATGGGGCCGAGCCAAAAGCAGGAGAGGCTCGCCACCGTGACCGACATGGAGACGAGCTACGTGTGGAGGACGAGCAGAAAGGAGCCATCGGCATCAGCCGCGACAGATCCAAGGCACTCAGATTTTTGTATGTGTGTTTTTTAAACCAAATGCTAATAGAAATCTACTTCTTTCTGACTGGTGGCGGTCCGTTACTTTCCATTTTTTTTTCTAATGGGTACTCTTTCTCCAGTCGGTGGGTTTATTCTTTTAAGACAGCAATCTAGCTAACGCAACGCTTCTTCGGTGCTATCGGTCCTGTCCATAGAGGGTTACCCAAAGCGTGTTTTCCTTTGCACATCACAAAACAAAACTGTACATGATATGTATTACAGGATGTATGCAGCATGGTCGGTTTTGTTTGCTCTTGGGTTTGGTTTTGTTTTGCTTTTCTCTTTTTCTTTTTTTTTTCCTCTCCTCCTCTTTTTTCCTCTTTTTTATTTTTTTTTTTTTCCGAACGGAACTGGAAACAGCAACGTGTTTGCTCAGCAACTAATGAGGGACAATTTAAAAACAGCCATAACATACCATACATGCTGTCTAATCCAAAAATTTAAAAAAACCAAAAAAACAAAAAAAACCCAAAACAAAACAAAAAAAAAAACCCCAACATACACAACATGTAAATTATTGCACAAGAGAAAGGCTCAAAGTTTGCGTAAAATGCAATCGTATTGCCCCAATACAGATCATGCATTCAAACGGTGAGAACAAAAAGAAAATAAACAGGGTGTGCTGGTGACAAGCACTTTCCGAATATCCTTAACTTCCATAATTTCCATCACAAGGGACTAGAAAACCTCTACGGGATGCGGGGACAGGGTGGAGATAGGGTGGATGGGGTGGGGGGAGGGGGGTACGAATATACCTCTATTCAGTTTTTATCTCGTTATTCAAGACTCGATCACTGTGCCATTTTTTCATGTGTTTCTCCAGGGTACTGTACACGCTAAAAGGCATCTTACAAATCTCACATTTGTAAACGTCCTTTCCCACCTGCCCGTGTGTTTTCATGTGCCGGGTGAGCTTGCTACTCTGGGCGCAGGCGTAGTTGCAAAGCTCACACTTATACGGCCTCTCACCCGTGTGGCTCCGTCTGTGGACAGTGAGATTACTACAGTTCTTGAAGACCTTCCCACAGTACTCACAAGTGTCGCTGCGTCTGCCCTCTTTTGAGCTGGGCCTGCCAGGGCCCGGGCCACTAATATGGGGGGTGCTCCCTCCGCTTCCAGTGCCGCTGCGGCCTGAGATTCCTCCGTCCAGCTCACCCGGCGGCGTGGAGAAGCGCAGGCTGCCGTTCTCTGAGGAGTGCTCGGAGGAGGAGGCGAAGGGCGATTGTCGGGAGTCGCCGAAGCTGAGGAAGGGGTCTTTCAGCTGCCGGGAGGCGGC